GGTCTACCAGTAGCTGGTGTTTTGTGCCTCTGGTATTCTTGTCCATCCCTTTCTGTGCCCTGCTTTTGTATTGAGCCATGTGCCTGTTCATCTTAGCCGACACAGCAAATCAGTTTACCAAAAGCACCTATGCAAGGCCTAATTTCTATAATGTGTGAGTCCCAGCTCCGGGATTGCACATTGCCCAACTAAAGCTGCACCTGAGCCAGTTAACATAAAAGCAAACCCAAATGCAAAAGAATCTGTTTTAAAATGCAACTCTTACTCTAAAATAAAGCAGTGAAGAGCAACAAAAGGAGAAAAGGAAAACAGTAACACAATCTCATGTGCAGCCTGCTCTGATATAAATTACATGTCAGTGCATAAATAACACATTTTTATCTGTTGAATGTATTGAATTACCACACCTCCAACTGACTGCTATGTTTACTACACAACTTAATTATTGTGCTCTTAATCACTACTAAAAAGCAATGTACAATAAACATCAGACACATTTCATCAAACTTAATTAAAAAGAGCTGACTTAAAAAAAAGCATCTGTGCCTTGAATCTCTGCTGTATAGGGCAAAATAATCACAATGCGTGTGAATGGCAGCTAAATCTGAAGAGAGAAGAAGAGCACTTGCTGCTACTTCCTCCCTTTGATCCCTTGTGTCCTAAAGCCTTCCCCATTACATCTCAATCTATTTCCTGACCATGTTCATTCCACCTTTTGCTCCATATATTTCTGGTTTTGTTTTCTCTCGTAGCAGCTCCACCTTTTTTTTCCCTTGTCTATCTGTATGATCCACTTCAACACTAAACTGTGTTACACAAGGTGCACGAGCACACAGGTAAGGTTAGGGAGAGGCCGGTTGTGTTAAGAGATTTAATTGGGCAATCTACTGTCAGTAGTACAACTGAACCAGTGGGCTGCTGTCAGTGCTTAGGGGGCTTTCACGCCATCCTGTAAGCTGCACGATTATAACAACAAAGAGGAAAAAAATTATATTGACCAATTGGCCCAGTGCGTAGGCCCACCAGGCAAATGCCAGTTTGTATGCCAGATTTCCAGTCCAGCCCCAGTTACAAACCAATGGTAACAGCTGGTTGTGGAAGAAAAGAAAAAGTGAAAATGCACTTGAACAATCACAATGAAGCCATGGTAAGAACACAGCTGCATTACTAAATATTAAGAAAAATAAAACTGCCCACATACTCTGTTCTTTATTCCCAGTCAGTAAATCCACAAGCTGTTGTATGCAAAAGTAACTTTTACCTCATTACTTTGGAGTTTAATGCACAAGAAGAAAACCAAACACCTAAAGATCTTTGAGTGCCCCCTACTGGGCTATTTCGGTTTATGCAGAGTTGGACAAAATCCAGCATAGACTTGTTTCCTGTGTAGGAACGAACTGTCACAGAGGTGGAAGCTGAGAATAGTGTCCAGCTGCTGCAGCATCAGCATAGAGCAGCTGATGTACCAGCTGACTGTTGCAGCATCAGTGTATGCCACAAGTCCTGCACACCTCTCTTTAATATGGAAGCTCATCATTTAGCCTGGAAAATAGTTTGCTGCTTTATAAAAAAGAAGTTGTTTTGTTAGTTGCAAGGCACTGTAATTATGAGGCAACTTAAAGGTTTGATTCTAGAAGAATGGATGTGATCCTCTCTTACCGATTGGCTAGAAATAACCTCACTTCCAGCATTCACACCACCACCTCTGTCTCCTCTTTACACTGTCTGATTCTGTAATATAGCAGCTACAGTGTATGGCCATCATGCTATCAAGTTAAAATACTGGAATCAGTTTAGTTATAACTCTCACAAAGGACATCCACCCAACCTGTAACTTTTTGTCTGTAACAAAAACAAATGACACTGTTAACTCCCTCTGCTTTGAATTCAAAAGAGGTCATTATTAATACGATTTAAATTAATGCATGTATTAGGAGTAGGTGGGACAATATGTAAGAGTTATATTTAACAGGCTGTACATTGCTTTAATTATTGGATTTTTTATCTGATAAGCTTTTAAAGAGAAACTGGAAATTTCTGAGACCCCCAAAAATGAAAGTATCTCACCTCCCTCTCTGAATAAAATTGGAATAGTGTGTGGATGATGGTGACGCGTATTTCTGATGTAGTGTCCAGATCTGCGGCACAGATTGTTTCACTTGATGATAAATGCAGTATTAGCAGTGTCAGCTAAATTTTCCGGTAGTGTACCGGAAGATGGTTGTGCCAATAGCACGTAGAAGCACATCTGAGATAAGAGATGAGCAGATAGGAGCGGTTCTCCTCTGAGTCTGTTCGACTGAAGATTCCACACGCAGTCAGAAACGAGACAAGTCAAATCGGGTTTCTGCTACTATTTTATTTAATTTGTTCAGTACTGGAGTTTCATGGACTAAACAATGGCACACCACTGCGTTACAGTTTCTCTCTTTGGATACAACCAACTAACACAAACGTTAAAATTATTCCTCTACAGAATGGACTAAAGTACACATACACAACCTCTGTTTCTATCACAGGCACCCAGCACAAAGACTCACACAAAGAATCGGTCACGCAGCGCACACGTTCTGTTGACACTCATAAACCACATTCGTACACCCACTCACAACCGAATACATTCTCAGAAAAAAACAATTATAAATTTTTAGAGCATTTCATATATTTTCCATAACACTCATAATGAACAGGACCCACCTCAAACAAGAAGGAGGCCGTACCGCAGTATGGAGCTGAATATCTAACAAAACGACTAATTTGGGAAATTACACAATGATTTTGGTGAGAACAGCCTTGAGGACACACTGTATTTCCACATGTAGCTGTCTTACAGGGATGATTCTCAGCCAATGCAAAAATAGATTTTTTATTTTCCTTACTTTTTAAAAAAAAAAATTAATTCTGGACAAAAACCCTAAACTTTGACCAGTTTATCCCAGGTGAGTGCCATGCAGGACCATACTGCAGGTTTTGCTTCAGCCCATTAATTACAAGTAGTTCACAGAAATGCATACTGTTTTTCAAAGCAAAAGTCTTTTCATTGATTTCCTACCTTCTGGTTTCATTTCAGAGCACTATGAAAATCAACTTTCAGACTTTAAAAATCCATCATTGTAGTTTTTGTAATATCTTGTATTGTAGCGTACATTCAAGAAAATGTGTTTTTGGAACATCAAAGACAAAAATGCTGGTCACAGCTAAGTAGTAACTAACGAGTTTGTACCATCGATTCTAATAGATCATTGAATTGGTTTCTGTGCTGTTTCTGATAATGACTTGGATCCAGAAAATGAAACAGTTACATTTTATTGACTGCTCCTTCACGTGTTGACCCAGTAATTTCATTGAGGACAAATGGCATTCACTGGCTAACAGCTAATGCAGCACACCCACTAACAGAGACACATACACATGATACATAATATAGCCACTAGCTGGCTCATCCTAGCTTTCCTTAGCTTTAAAGTTAGCTAGTAATACTGTTGACACTGGGGGAGCATCAAGTAATACTTTGGATTTTATCTGCGACATTCACACTGAAGTCACTCCACAGACTGTTACAGGCAATGCAAATTTGAAACTAAAAGATCTGAAACTGTTGAGTAACTGTGCTCTGAGTTTCAAAATGGTCCATGCTAGCAAACTGCACGCCATGCAAGTTTATATCAAGTAAAGTTAACTGTCATAGTGCACTGAAAGTTTCGTAGCTTCTACTTTGAAAAATACTCAGCAGTGATTTGTGTTTGAGAACAAAAGTAGCAAAACCATCAAGGTGGTAATTTATTTGAACGTCAGTGTGACAAGCTCCAATTTAGCGATGGCTATCCCTTATCTTCCTTGTACCCAGCACAAAGACTAGAATGACACAGGTAACAGGACATTAGTCTCTAAAAAAATGTCAGCACTAATAAGGGATTTTACATTTTTACCATCAGCATGCATGTTGTTGAACAGAATTACACACAGATAAGTTCAGGGAAGCTGTAGTTGCTACAAACGCTCGGGCAAGAGATGCTTCTCATTCCGACTGCGCCACTACATTCACCTTCAGACCAACACTCCACTCACTCCTGACTCGCTTTTCAACTCCAGTCTCAGTGTGCAGATGTAGAGTCCATCTTCAATATGCGGTATAGGAGTTTATATATTAGTAACAATGGGAATGACACAGAAACGTTTAGTTTGTTATAAAAGAAAAGTATAGTATACTCACATTTCCTGTTTAATGGAAAAGTGCGCATCTGTTTGAAGTCATTTTAGAAACTTGTAGATATTGTGATGTATAATGCCATCATGCAAGAAGCGTTTACAGAGACACTTCTTCTCTCTGGCAGCTATATAACGTATTTGAGGGCTGAAGTAGGACTGGGGGAGTGGAAACACGTACTGTAGCGATGGCGGCATGGCTGGCTAATCCAGCGCTTGCACTGTATTTCTATGTTTATTCAGTTTATTCTACAGTCGAAGGCTTTGAGATGCTTCAGCCTACCTAACTCTGTGTGAGTGTGTGTGTGTGTGTGTGTGTGTGTGTGTGTGTGTGTGT